TCTCAGAAAATAACAGTTTGGCAAACTGACATGTGCTTTAGTTAAGAAAAACATTTTGACAATGATGGTGTTTACTGTGTACTTTAAAGCACCGTGATAACTTGGACTTTTTTGTGTGTTAAAATAGTTTTGCCTGTTTTTTCGTCCTGTTGATAAGTACAGTCTTGGTCCTGAGAGTGCTTAGTTTAGATTTAGAATGTACTTTTCCAGTTAAATACAGCTAAGATGTAAATGTGTCTGTGATTGGAAAATGGTTGTAAGAAACAAGAGAACCACATTTGCGGGTGTGGCCTTCTCATCTCTGTAATACATAAAATGGTTAACAGAATTCCTGAGCATGTTAAAACCACTAGATTTAAAGACCCTAAGGTTGGCAAACTGAAATTTACTGTGTAGCATCTTGGTCTTTAATACTTGTTGTAGTGCACCACCTACTGGTACCACTACCTAAAATTGCTGCAGTATTGTGTAATAGAGTTTCTACTGCAAATGTATGTGGTTTATTGGAATTCCTTGAAAATTAAAGTAATATCACTAGAGAACTGAACTGCCTACATATAACAAAAGCCACCAAGTTTAGGGACCCTGATTTTTCCAGTGCTTTTAAGTTACTTCTCAGTGATAATGGAAGGCTTTGTGCTACTCTCCTGCGACTTCCAGGAGTGCTGCTGTGGCTAAGGCGTCAGGCTGCTAAGTTTGAACTGCAAGGTCGGTGGTTCAAGCTCAACAGCTGCTCCTCCGAAACCCTATACAGGGCCGCTATGGGTCGAAATTGACTTGACAGCCCTTGAACAACAACTGTCTGATTCTAAACTCGAAATCATCAACAAAGTCACAGATAGCAAAAATTCTCAGAGATTTGGGCACAGGATGTATCAAATGTAAAACACGTTTTTACAAATAAATAAGGGGCTTTTTGTGTTGATGTAGTTTTCTTGACAAATTTTTGGCTTAGTTTCCCTTTCTACGTGTTTTTATTAGAAAAATGTAATCATAAGCTTCATCAATTTAAAAATTTGGCACACCGATGTGTTTAAAGCTAATCCACACCCAAGAAATTTTTGTTGGTCGGGTGTCTCTTTCCAGATCTTTTCTTTGCATGCCCTTCATCTCTGTTGTTCACTTTTTATGGTAAAAAAAAGGGGACCTAATCCGTCCTTTTAGAAGTTGCTCAGTTGCAAATGAAGCTCTATTAGGTGTATGGGTGAGTTGGAGTCTATTTGTAGTGATGCTTAAATTTTGCATGCTCTCTGTTTGTTGCCCATTGATGCCTTATTTACCTGGTTAAATTATGCCCACTCATAGTGATCCTGTGCAGGGTTTCCAAGGAGCGGTTGGTGAATTTGAACCACTGACCTTGCAGCTCAAACTGACCCAGTGGTCCAATGCTTTATCCCACAGCACCACACCAGAAGAAGTTACGAAATGATCCTATTCTAGTTAATTCTGTTATTCATTCTTCACTTTTTGTTAGATGGCACACTTCTCTCGTGAGATATGCCTTTCCATCCACAATTTAGTTGCAAAGCACTAATTTTCTTAAGTTTAGATAAAGCACGAGCAATTAAAGAACAAAAGCAATGAACACAATGTCTTAAGGTGATTAAAAAACATATCTAGTAGGTTAATGTAAAGTCCATTTCTAAGTAGATTCAGTAGTCTTTGCTATGGGCAGTTAGAAAAATCATTGGCAGCTCTCTGTGCTTAACAGTAGAGTTATGAATTGGCGAGCGCACCATCTCAATTATTGCTGATAGTAAAGAGTGCAATGTAGCACAGCCTAGGTGGGACGCTCTTGAGCTGCACTTGTGAAGAGACAAGGCCCTTCTGCAATTCTTCAGGTAGAACTCAATCTGTTTACTTTCCCACCCAAGCTAGGGTGAGCGCGAATATAGGATGTTGGCTGCTATTAACAATTAAACCGAATTCAGTGTGCTTTTTCTTAGGGAAGAGGGGACTTGGCCTCTTAGGTTAGGTATGTTAGCAAAGATGTGAATGCCAATTATGGTGCCACAAACTGCTCCACATGTGTACAGTTGTGTACTCCAAAAAATCGTTTGTTCATAGAAATTATTCAGAAAGCAAGGATTTCTGTTATTTAAAAAAAATTTTTTTTTTTTTAAATCTCATGGATCTTCCTAAAACCTGGTGATGTAGGTAAGGGAAGAAAGTGCCTACATTTCACTTGTAAAAATTGCTGCTTCCGTTTCTTCTTTCCTAAGATAGCCGAGATTTGTGAGCCCTTTTGCTTAGAAGGATTTTCACCAAGATACTGCCTAGTGATGTGGATGAATCTGTGAGAGTGAAGTCAATTCAAGAAGCTTATAGAGGACCTGGTATGTTGCTGAAGGATAAGCCATGGACCACAAGGTCGGTGTGGAACACGGTCAGTTTGAGTTGGAACTGAGTCAACAGCACTTAACAACAACAACATGAGAGTCTTGGGGTGGTTGGTAGGTGGCTACAGCAAAGTGTTCGTTGTTGTTAAATGTCAAGTCAGTTCCGACTCATAGCAAGCCTGTATAGGGTTTCCGAGGAGCAGCTGGTGAGCTTGAACCACCAACTTTGAGGTTCAAACTGACCTTGCAGTCCAGTGCATTAACCCACAGCGCCATACCAGGTCTCCCCTGAAGCGAATAGAGTTGCTAAATGACCGAACCTTTGTTATGTAGGCTGGCGATCATACACGTTCTGTTTAAGGTCTACTGTGACACATTGGACAACAGTTCTTACTTAGAATGGTGCCCAATTAATTAACTAGCTGTTAAGCTAGGAACTGGGTAATCAGAGATCTGAAAACACAAAAGAGGTTTCCATTCTTCATTGTGAAATCAACCATTCTCCTCTGCGTTTTGGGGTTTTGTTCTTGGGGGGTTACTTAAGAGAGTTTTGTAGCCCCATTGGTTTGAGCAGTCTGGTGTAAAACTGTTGGCATGTGTCCTGTGATGTAGGAAAAGTCATTGTGAAGTCAGGACCTTATGTTGAGCTAATGGTGACATTCACCTGTCTAAACGTATATGAGCCATGGCACTTGGGCATAGTAATGACAGGCTTGTCATCATGGAGGTGAGTTGGGGAGTTACGATACTGAAATTCTGGATATAACCTAGAACTGAGAATTTCTGAGGCTTTTTCAGGTAGAACTCAACCTAGAATGGTTTCCCTTTCCTGCCCAAACTAGGCCTCTTCACCTCTAACCAAGGCATGGGGGCACATCACCTGACTTGGACAGTGAGTGCCTGCCACCGTCTTTTGAAGATCTGAGTAGTAGCTCCGCAGTGAGTCTGTAACCCAAGGAATGTGGTTGGACGTTGAGCAGACTGAATAGTTTGTCCTGTGAGGAACCGTTGCCCTGATGCAGACTAGTGTAGAACACAGAAGGGCTTGGTGAGGTAACAGTGGAACAATAGGAGAGGTGCAAGGCACAATCAAGGGGGGACATTTCCACTGCCTTGGACTACGATTGCCTAAATTCCCTAACAAGGAGAAACTAGAGTGACTATTCTTCATATGTATGTAAAAAGTGCCTAGAAAGCTATCAAAGGTAGAGGGAGGTGGAAGACTCCAGACCTGAGTCAAAGGAGAAATGCAAATGGTCAATTTAGAATAAAAATTATTTGGGATTAACAGATTGTCAAAGTAGCCTTGTTGGCACACAGTGGTTTATGTGTTGGGGCTGTTAGCCACATGGTCAGTGGGTCAAATCCAGCAGTCATTCCACAGGAGAAAGATGAGGCTTTTTGTTCCAGATTTACAGCCTTGGAAATCTGTGAGTCAGACTCAACGTCATTCAACAGCAAATTGGCAAAGTTTTCATTTTTATTTGCTTAGTGTAAATATGATAGAAATGTTGGAAGCAGTTGCTATTTCACTGGTATGGTACCATAGGCTCAGCACTGGACTGTGAACCCCACAAGGTTGACAGTTCAAACCCACCAGCTGCTCCTCAGAAACCCTATACAAGGTCACTGTGAGTTGAAACCAACTCTATGGCATTTAACAAAAGCAACAACAAGAAGTAATAGTAAGGGAGTCCGCAGGATAAGCACTGGACAACAATGTCAATTTGAACTGAAAGGTCGGAAGTTCAAATCCACCAGCTGCTCCTTAGAAACCCTATACAGGGTTGTTATGAGTCAGAACCAGCTCGATGGCACTTAACAACAACAACAGCAGTAATATAAGAGCAACTCTGTTGGATGAGCTTTGCATCCGGAAAATGTACATGCGTCTCATCTAATAGTTCCCCTACAGAAAATTTATATTAAAGATTTAAGGATGTAGGCAGAATATAGTAGGTAGAAGGATGTTTGCTGTTGTTGATAATAATGAATGCTTAAAAACTGCCCCCAAAACAATATAAAAGGATTAGGTTCACCAAATTGATATGTTCACACAATGGCCCACTGAATTTGATGGTGTGGAGCTCTACTTATTGAAAAAACAAAGCCAAAAAACATTATCATAAGATTCTTACATGAGACAGTGAGCACTAAATATTCTTGACAGTGTGGTCCCATTTGAAAAAAATATATTTGAAAGGATAAAAGCAAAAATATTAAGCATAGTGGTTCTAAGTTTTCTTCTTGCCTCCCTTCCCCCTCCCCAGTTTTTCTGTAATGAACATAAGGCAAAAAGAAAGGTGTTTAGCATCCATGTGTAACATGAACTTCTATATTGAGTTGCACGGCAAGCTTAAGCAAGCTTTGCTGCTCAGAAGGGGCTGTACATGTTGTTCCAGAAATGTCAGGGTTTATGTATTTGAGTTAGAAATGCTGGTTGGCTCTCCTCTGGTTATGACCATAGACTCTGCTTTTAATTATACAAAATGGCATCTTTCATAGGTAAAGGAAACCGATTCCAGCCATTCTGGGGATGTTTGCTATCAGGGGAAAAGAGTGAAAAAGGAGGGGAGCGAGAAGTATGACATATTTTTTTTTAAATCTAGTTTATATTTAGCAGAAACTCGAGATTTAGATGGACTTTGCTTTGTTTTCTAGGCTAACCACCAGAGCACCTTAGAAGTTCAACCAAAAGAATGCTCATGTTTGACCCAGTCCCTGTTAAGCAAGAAGCCATGGACCCAGTATCGGTGGTAAGTTTTGCAAAATTGAACACCTTCTACTTTATCCCAAGTAATAAAAACATGACTGTGTTAGGCTAATTCTTTCAAGTGTTTCATTACTTGACCAGCGTCTGATAGCAAACATTTCTCAAAGTCCATAGTAGCAAGTGATGTATATGCTCTTCTTGCTACCAGGCATTCTTTAAATTAGTGAGATCCATGTTCCCTTAAGTGCTAGGCCACAGAAGTATCTGGCCATGACAGAAGTTGTTGTTGATAAGTGCTGTTGAGTCAGTTCCGACCCATAGCGACCCTGTATAGGGTTTCCGAGGGTCAGCTGGTGGGCTTGAACCGCTGACCTTGCAGTTCAAACGGCTTTGCAGTCTGGTGCGTTAACCCACTGCGCCACACCAGGACAGAAGGATAGAATTGCTTGCTTCAGCACCATTGAGAACAGCCATATGGAGCTGTGATTGTGAGAGATGACTGGAGGGAAGTAAGCAAGAGCAAGAACTTGGCAATGAGGGTGGAATTTCATTTTGCTTGGAAGAGTCAGGCAGGCTGGGCGGGAATTAGGTTCCTCGTCCCTTTCAACACCTTGCCCCTCTCCTAAGCCAGGCCACACTTGAGGCTGTGGGGCCACCAGAGGACTCATGGTTACTCCAGGTGTTGGTTTAGGTCCAACCCGAATGCTGTGGCCATGAGACATGGGTGACAACAGAAAGGTGTCCGACTTCAAAGCAGGGAGTGGTTTCAGCCAAGAGGATCCAGTTTAGTAAATATTCAATAAACACGGCAGCGTTCCCACTCCGTCTTGTTCTTTTCTTCCATGAGCTTGGAAAATATTCACAAGGGGAAGAAACTTGGCCTGAGTTGTGTAATCTGAAGGTTGGTAATGACACGCTTGCAAAATTAGATCATCTTTATGTACTGGCTGTGGAGATTCCTGCCAAAAGTGTTTATACAGGACACGGGGGTCACTCCGAGGCCCTTGGAACCGAGTTCTTCTGCATGGTACTGCCCCTATGAAGCGTATACCCGTGTGTCTCTAATGAAAAGTTCGGTAAGAACGGCTGTGAGCAAATAACATTTTGTCATCCAGCATGACAACTCGATACAACTTGAGTGTCTGGATATGATAATGGCCCAACACTAAGAAGTTTATTCATCAAAACACTGAACTCCGCCTTGTCATACTGACTCAAGCTGCCTTCTTGTCCATCAAGCCCCTTTCTTTCCTTACTACTGCATGACCTAACTGGAGGGAGACTAAGGTGTACGGTTTCTCCATTAATTATATCCTGAAAGTATGAGCGAGTTTTTAGTACTGGAGAATATGATTAATTTTATAAATGACACAGAACCGTCAATGATGCATTTTATGATCCGGGCTGCTTCTGGTACTTGTAATCAAGCATGAAAATATGGCTCAAGAACCTAATTTAAAGCTAAAATGAAGACCCATATTGCCAAGTTGGCACAATAATGAGGTGCAAGGAAATGCACTTAACTGAAAAAATGGGAAATAAAACGAATTTAAAGTAGCTATTCTACTTGTAACATTGTAACTTGTATTAATACATGAAGCTTACATAGAAGTCTTTTTAACAACTGAAGTCTTTTTCTCCTTTATGCACCAGTTTTCAGCTTCAGCACTTAGAGGATCTAATTAGAAAGTTTTACCAAAAGCTAGTGTCACTTCTTACAATGAAGTTTGGTTGTTGTTATTTGTTTTTTCACTCCCCCTTAGTTGAGCGAAACCTCAGTTTACTGAAGCATTTAGGTAGTAGGATACTGTGAAGATTAAAGGCTTTGTTTCTGCTCTTACATCTGTACATTTCATCTCCTCTGCCTACATAGGCGATGTATAAGGAAGCTTTTTCTTTCTTTCTTTTTTAATTCAGTCTTTGACCCAGAGGTTGAAGTCTTTGGTTATTCAAGTCAGTGTTGTAAGCAAGAAGCCAGTATAGGACATTTGCCACATTTTTTGGTTTGTTTTAATTCTACGTTTGAGTAGGAATATTTTCTGGTGATGTACTTCCCTCCTCCTTCCCCATTTAAAGAGAGAGAGAGTACTGCAGAAGCTGTCTATTGGGCATTTTGCTGTGGTTTATACAAAATGAGGAGATGTCTCATACTGTGCTGTGCTTTGCTTCAACTATACCTCAGAACTAAACCCACTACCATCAAGATGGTTCTGATTCATAGAGACCCTATGTAGGGTTTCCAAGACTATATCTCTACGGGAGTAGACAGCCTCATTCATCTTTCTTCCACAAAGTAGCTGATGGGTTTGAACCACCATAGCAACCCAGCAGCTACCCCAAAGCACCAGCAGATGGTAAAGCTTTGGGTTCTCATGTTAAAATTAGTAATAGTGGAAAGCAGGTTAGACCCTGCCTTCACAGATCTCAGAACCCTTGGGTGGTGGTACAAGTGTTAAGATGCTTGACTAGTAATAAAAAGGTTGATGGTTCCAGTCTATCCATGGTGCCTCAGAAGAAAAGTGTGGTGATCTCCATCTCAAAAATCAGCCACTATGCAACACAGTTCTATTATGACACGCACGAGTCGGAATCAACTGCATAGCACCTGATTTCTGGTGATTCCCAGATCCATGATATAAAATAGCATGTGTACATAAAATGCACACGTCAAGGAATTGTTTTTACCAACTCATTTCCAAAGAAGTTAGAAAGTTAAGGCTCTCATTCAGGAAGTGAAAAGGAAAAACATATTGCAATGTATATATTCCTTTAGGAGGATTATTTTTTAAGAAAGTGTGTTTTTTTTGTGTGTGTTTTTTTTTTAAATAAAAATTGCCACCTACAGACTCTTTACAGATGAAGCAGTAACTTAAAATCAGTAGTTTCAGCTCTGCTCTAGCAAGAACTTGTCAGGATTTTTTACGAGTCCAATAAAAAGAGCCCTTTCTGCTTTTGTTTGTACAGAGGGGTAGGACATTTGCTGTTTCCAGAGTGCTTGTTTATAAATGAAGCCCTCCTTCCTGCACTAGAAAACCCCACCCTTGGTAGGAGACTCCTTTGCCTTGCCAGGGCCCTGTCCCCAGATGTTCATTTTTTTTTTCACATTATTGAAGAGTGGAATAAGAGACTTAATGTTTCACTCAGTCACTGCATCAACTTAAGCCGCCTTGTAATGGAAAACTCACTCACACTAATTCCTAATAAAAAGGAATGATTGCAATTCTCACTTTAGAATAAAGTAAGAGCTAGAGCTTTAGCAAACTGTCCATCAAAATCCTATTTTTGATGTTCGCAAAAATTGGTATTACCCTTGGCTTTGTCGGTAGTAAAACAGTGTGAAGAGTGTGTGTTAATTCAGTGCCTTGGTTCATCAAGTTTACCAAGTGCCTATGCTAGGAGTACGGAGACAGGAAGCTGTCAGCAATAAGTCGACATTGGAGAAGGGTCAATAATTGCACACATAGATGTAAAGACCCTTTAATAACAGTTCTTTCTGAAGATTAAAACCTATCACCACCCTTAATGAGTGCTTCCTAGGTAGAAGTATTCAGGTACTAACTGAAAGGTTGGTCATTCAAATCCACTCAAAGGCACCTCAGAAGAAAGGCCTGGTGATCTTCTTCCATGAGAGTCAAAAGCAAACAGACAACACAGTGCTGTCATGTTAATTCTGACTTAGGCAACCACCATTGAAAACCGTATAGAGCACAATTCTTTACCGACACACTTGGAGCTGCCATGAGGGAGAATCACCTCACCCCAACGGCACCTGGGTTTGTTTGTGGTTTTTTTTAACCACACTTCATAGGGTAAGAAGGCACCCTGGTGGTACACTGGCTTATGAGTTGGGCTGCTAACCACAAGGTCAGCAGTTCAAATCCATCAGCTGCTTCTCAAGGTCACTGTGAGTTGGAGTCAGCTTGATGGCAGTGGGTTTGACTTTGGGTTGGGCATAGGGTGAGGGAGGGGAAGGAGAACCTTGGCTGTGTGTCTTCAAAGGTAGCTCTGCTCCTGGACACCAGGTTTCCTAAGGTAAGCATTATGCACAGGGGACATTGGATTAGTCCCCTTAGGCTCCTCTTGTTGCATGCCGGTTGAGTGGATTTCAACTCAACAGAGTAGAACTGCCCCATAGGGTTTCCTAGGCTGTAACTCTTACACGGAAGTCCTGGTGTGGTGATGTAGAATAAGTATGGAGCCGCAAGGTTAGTTTGAACTGTAAGTTTGACGGCACTCGACAACAGCAATCTTTATAGAAGCTGATTGCTAGGTCTCTCCTTGGAGCTGTTGGGTAAGTTTGAACCACCTACCTCTAGGTTAGCAGCCGAGTGTTTGGCGCTGTACCACCAGGACTCCTTCCTTGTGTGGCCGAGGCTGCTTCATGCAGCACTTGCCTCTGATTTTGAATTGGGGCTAGTGCAGCCATGCTAGTTTGCTCTGCTTTGGTAGATGTTAGGAACAGTCTGAAACAGGAGAAGGGGCTGTGACCAACCGGGATGTCCTACCCAGACCAAACACCCCAGTGAGTCCTTTATCGGTCCTCACGCTGTAGAGAACCAAATTGTTGTTGTTGTTGTCAGGTGCCATCGAGTCGGAACCAACTCACAGCGACCCCATGCACAGCATAACGAAACAATGCTCGATCCTGGGCCAACCTCACCACCGCTGCCACCCCCGAGTCCATCAATGATGCCACCTGGCCGATCCATCTCTTTGGGGGTCTTCCTCTTTTTCTCTGACCCTCCACCCTACCCAGCATGACATCCTTCTCCAACGATTGTTTCCTCCGGACTACATGTCCAAGGTAGGAGCTTAGCCATCCTGGCCTCCAAGGAGCACTCTGGCTGCACTTCTTCCAAAACAGATCTATTGGTTCTTTTGGCAGTCCATGGCACTTTCAGTATTCTCCTCCAACACCACAACTCAAAGGCATCAATTCTTCTACGATCCTCCTTATTCACTGTCCAGCTTTCGCTGTAGAGAACCAAATTACTGTATGCTAATTGCAGTAACTTGTGCCTCCACCCAAATAATTAAAGTCAGTGCCTTATATAAGGTCTGGCTAACATTGCTGTGACATTTGCTAATGAGACAGTTTGAGGGAGCGATTTTGTGTACCCTTTGGTGAAACGGTCTGACTGTAAATGGTTAATTATGTCTTCAGAGTTGTGTCTATCTAACGTGTCTTCCTGCATTTAGCCCTCTCACCTAATAGCCCACATCCTAAATAGGAGATGGTGCATTCATGGGACAGCATACAACCAACCTAAACGGCTCCCAAATGTTTACAAGACTTAATGTGGGGCTTTGCTTTCTCTTTATGGCTTGAGAAACCTGAATATATTAGGACATTTGACAATTGTCCAGGTTCTTGGTTTCTAGTTTCCTAAAACTCACCCAACTCTAGTTTCCCGAAACCTCCCAACGATGACAATAGTAAATGTTTATGTCCTTATTTGCTTCACAATTCTCTGGCATTAAAATCTAGGTCATGGAGGTCCTTGAGGAAAAGACTGAAGGTTCATTCTGAGGAGTCTAAACAGCACTGCCTCTGTTTCCCGAAGATTTTTCCTAATACCGGGATTTTATAATTTTATAAAGCAGGTTAAGCTTCATAGAATTAGGAACCCCCCATTTCCAGCCTCCCATACTGAGTAAGTTTTTGTTAGCCCTCAATGTACATATTTTTGTCTTCATTTGTTATTCCAGCATCTGCTAACACCTTCCTTTTTTTGTATCCCAATAGTCTTACCCATCTAATTACATGGAGCCCATGAAGCCCAACAAGTACGGTGTCATCTACTCCACGCCTTTGCCTGATAAGTTCTTTCAGACCTCAGAAGGCCTGTCGCACGGGATACAGATGGAACCCGTGGACCTCACCGTGAACAAGCGGAGTTCACCGCCTTCGGCTGCGAGTTCTCCTTCCTCCCTGAAATTCCAGTCTTCCCATCGGAGAGCCTCGCCAGGCTTGAGCATGCCTTCACCAAGCCCGCCGATGAAGAAGTACTCGCCCCCTCCAGCCAGCGTGCAACCCTTCATCGTGCCGCTGTCCATGCCGCCCGTCATGGCTGCTGCGCTCTCTCGGCATGGCATCCGCAGCAGCCCCGGGATACTGCCCGTCATCCAGCCAGTTGTGGTGCAGCCTGTCCCGTTTATGTACACGAGCCACCTCCAGCAGCCGCTCATGGTGTCCTTATCGGAGGAGATGGACAATTCAAATAGCAGCATGCAAGGTAAATGCCACCACAGACTTGCCCTGCCATCCGCTGTGAGCTTGGAGTACTGGGTACTCACCAGGCAGTCTGGGGAGGAAGCACATTGCCAAGAGCTGGTGAATCTCCTAAGAGGAAATATTCTTGATACACTTGACCTCCTAATGCAGTTGCTTTTTTTTTTTTTTTTTTGAAGAGCTCCTAAGAATCGGGTTCTGTTTTAATACTTTAAGATGATTACTTTCGGTGTATTGTTGTCAAGTCTGGGTTAGCAAGATTCTTAACTTTATAAATTACTTTATTGAATGCCAACATGATTCTGTTGTTGTTGTTAAGTGCTGTTGGGTCAGCATCTACTCATAGCGGCAACCCTGTATAGGGTTTCCAAGGAGCAACTGGTGAATTTGAACAGCTGACCTTGTGGTCCAGTGCATTATCTCACAGTGCCATACCACGATGCCAACATGATACTAGGTGCAAAAAAAAAAAAAAAAAAGACATTTAATAAATACTATTTGATCAGACATTGGCGATAATGCATGCCTTTTAACAGCCTTGATTACCCATTGATCACTTGTCAATGGAGTTGAAAGGACATAACCAAAATCAAAAAGAAGGATGGTTTGTGGGACTTGGTACCCAAAGCCCTTATATATCCTGGCAAAATAAAGGTGATGCAAAACAAAAATTCCCCACAAATTTCATTTCCTGTGTAAGCTTTGCCAAAGACAAGTAAATACACATCAGCATTGTTGATAAGAGCTGAGTGGTAAGCTTTTAAAAACTGCAATGGATCAGTTGTACCTAGAGTGACTTTTTCATTTTTATTTTTTAGTACCTGTAATTGAATCCTATGAGAAGCCTATATTACAGAAAAAAATTAAAATAGAGCCTGGGATCGAGCCACAGAGGACAGATTATTATCCTGAAGAAATGTCACCCCCTTTAATGAACTCAGTGTCCCCCCCGCAAGCATTGTTGCAAGAGTAAGTATATTCAGGTCTACCTGGCATTTGCATAAGGCGTGCATCTCGGAACCTGGAGTGGAAGCACAAACTTCCAGTGTGTAACAGGGTGTGGTTTGCCAGGAATACTTTACAGTATGTGGCAGCCGCTGGGCAACAGCCCCGTGCCCATGGCCCAGAAGTGAGAACTTCCAAAAATAGTGTGCTCTGTTAACGCAGACAACATTATGACCCATAGTTAACAAGTTTTCAGTCAAGTAGCCACTCAAGATTTTGCCACCTTATCACATAAATCATTGTAATTTGTTTTGTGTTTCCATCCTTTCAGACTGTCCTTTGTGTAATTTTCACATAACTGTAATTCTAGCGTGGGTGGATTGCATATACTAGATACTCCACTTACGGTTGAATCAAGAAGATGTTTTATGTTGTAGACAAACATTGTCTTCCTAGTTGTCGCTTCTAGGAGAGTATACTGGTTCTTTTACTGGGTAGGTGTTTACTCAAAGTCTTTAGATTGACCACAAGCCCAAGAGAGACACTCCTAAATAAACCTTGTCAATAGCAACAGAAGGTTGTCTGTGTAGTTCAGTGTAGCTGAGTGCTGAAAGAATTCTTTATTCTCTGACCTTGTAAATCCCATCTGCCTGTAGATGGTCTGTCACCATTAGGAAGGTCATGTTGCGTGGGTTAGCCCCTGAGTGGTAGTTGTAGGTGGCACACAGGGACTATACAGAGTTTCAGTAATGGACCTGCCACTGTGCATAGGCTTGATGTAGCAGGGAGGTTGTTTTCTGATCTGACATTTGAGATTCCACCTCTGCTGTCCACCGTATGTGTGACCTTGGGCTCTTTAATCTTGCTACCTCATTTTCCTCTTCTTTTTATGATTAGTTGTAATTATTTTTGTTGCTTCTGTTGTCATTGTCTTGTGATGGTGCTCTCAACATTGGATCCATCCTTGAAAGTCACTGGCTTCCTGGTACAAGGTCAAAGGTTATTAACTCAACAGGGTCCTTTCTGTCATCTTTTCTCTAAATTGAATCAATGTTCTGCCCACCTGTTTACTATATCTTCTCTACCCCGTTCCCTTCCACAATGAACTCTGCAACTGAACATGAACTCACAAGTTTTAGAGCAGCTGTTAACTTCAAATGTGCTCTTGGTGTATCCATGTATTCAGACCACACGGCTGCCTTCACTGTGGCTCATGTCCCTGGTGCCAAATCATAGGCAACTTCCTGGTTGTCTTAGTTATCCAGTGCTGCTGCAATCGAAACAGCGCAAGTGTGGATGGCTTTATCAAACAAGTGTATTTTGTCTCACAGCTTAGGAAGTTGGAAGTCCAAATTTAAGGTCCCAGCTCTAGGGGATAGCGTTTCTCTTTCTGTCCTCTCTGAAGGAAGAGCTTTATCTCTTCTGGGCGCCTGCTCCTCCTGAACAGTAGTCATATGACCTGTCTTTCCCTGTCTCCGCTTTCTCACTTGAATCTCTGTCTCAAAGGAGACACACTACAATCCTGCTTCATTTGCATTACAAAGTCAGCCCATTCCCAAATGGAATTGTTGTTGTTGTTAAGTGCCATCAAGTCGGTTCTGACCCACAGCGACCCTGTACAGGGTTTCCGAGGGTGTAAATCTTTACGGGAGTAGAAAGCCTCATCTTTCTCCCGCAGAGCAGCTGGTAGTTTCGAACCACTGACCTTAATTAAGGTTCACAGCCCGATTCGTAACCACTATTAGAGAATTAGAATTTACAATGCATATTTTTTGGGGGTGGGGCCAGATTTACAGTAAAAGCCATAACGGTTAGTTATCCATATATTCTCCCAGGTAGATAAAACAGAGAGAATTAATCTTTTTACCCAGCCACATTAGCTGATAGGAGAAGGTTTCTGATGCAGTTTATATGTTATTACCCTTTGTAATTGTGTAGTGCCCCCCCCACCTCCCCCCATGGGAAAAAAGGGAGAGACACGTTCAAGTGTTTTCAAAGGAGATACTTCCGTTTAATCCTTTATAACAAGCATGTGGGAGTCAGAGCATGGCGAGAACGTATGAGCCCAAGACCTAAGTAACCTGCAAATCACACTGTTTGCATTCTGTGGATGGCACAGATGGCTAAGCTCTGGGCTAACAAAAAGGGTGATGGTCTGAATCCATCCAGAGGCACCTTGGAAGAAAGGCCTGACGATCCCCTTCCAAAAGATCACAGCCCTTGAAAACTCTATGGAAATCCAGTTTTGCTGACACACTTGGGTTGGCACCATGAGTTGGAATGGACTCAGCAGCAACACTGAGGGGCCTTAGCTTGCTTGATCCTTGGCTTTCCTGCCATTGTGCCGTGTGTGACCGATCTTACCTGTGCTCAGGTGAAAGGAAACGTAGAACAACTAGACCACATACACAACGTTCTGGAGGCTGAATTGGTGGTTTTTTTGCCTTTTTTCTTTTTTTTTTTAACCACAAAGGGTGTCTTCTCTGAGAAAGTAACAATCCGGCATACACATGTGATTGTTCCTGATCAGGTGATGGATAAGCTGCTATCACACTAAGTACAGCCGAATGCACATATAAGGACCCAGTGACTGACAAAGAATTATTCCAAAATCTAACTCATATAAATTACAATGTGTAGCAAAACAGAAGAAGAATATTTGAAGGAATAAATACACTGTGATCTGAATGCTGGTGAAAAAGAAATACTTTCTCTGCGTTGACAAAAAGCAGTTCTTTTAATGATCTCAAACCCAGTGGCTTTTAATGATTGATGAGTAGTAAGCTAATTTTAATGCTGACACAAGAATGCATTTTGCTCCTTAAAACAATTCAGATCGGCCACAACTGGGACATGGACTCTTTAAGCAGCTCTCTCACAGATGAGATTAAGTAATGTCTTGGAGGGTGCCCAGTAGCGACCCACATAGGAAACCAGCTAGCCAGGAAAGACTCACTTGAAACCAGACGCTTAGTTATGGCGATGAGGCAGCCCCAATAATATTTGCCTTAGGAACTCCTCCTTTTCACGAGGCAGACTAAATTTTGCCTTTGAGACCCATTTGCTTCATCAGAGGATTTATAGCTTTAGAATGATTTTTAAGGGCACTCCAACGTTTATCAACTTCCTTTTATTCTTGTAAGAGTACGAGGGGACTTCAAAAAGTCTGTGGACAAAATTCCATAATATTTTCATTCCATTTTTCCACAGACTTTTTGACGCCCCTTCATATTTAGAAGTAAAAAATGGAGGACTCTGGATCACTATTTGGTTGTGTATGTGGATTGCAACAAATTTAAGAAGGGTCAACTTAGCCCCAAACAATTTTCACACCTTTTCTTTTTTAAAGCTATTTGAGTTTTTGGGTTTGAAAGATGATGAGGAGTGAGTAGACCCAGAGATGAAAATTCAAGGCCCTTGTCTCTAGCTGTAACCTCTACCAGCGCCAGGCTCTTGGAAATGGAGCTGCCAACTAACCTCTCTGGGTGTTGCTGCTGCATTTTGAAATGGATGTAAGCTCCCATAAGGATTTACTGATCTGGCTTTGGGATATCCCCACAACTCATTGAAATTAAACATCTGCAGTGTGCAGAGCCTCCAAATACCAAAGAATCTCAGAACCTTGAAATACTGACAGCTCTCAGTGAGAAGTTTTACCTCCAGGACAGGTGTTGTTCTAAGTGCATCATGCATATTACCGTAAACTTCAGAGACGATAGTATCACCTCCCCCATTTTACAGAAAGGAAACGGAAGTACAGAAGGTCTAAAGTATCCACAGTTGTAGTGCACAGCCTTTCGCGTATCTTTACGGACAGAAGGAGCCATTGGAAACACATTGTAGTTGCTGTCCAGAAATGATTCTATAGATGCCCAACCCATAGAACATGATCATTTGAAGCGATTTATGAAGTCATCTGGGACACACACACAAACCCACCCCCAGTGTCCCCAAGGAATAGCAGATCTATTTAACCATTAAAGTTTCTTCCCAGCATTTCATTTCCTGACATTTTTCTCTTACTGAAGAAGATACACTATTTTCATTCAATAGCATTAAACTTGAAAGGTTTAAATAAAACTGGTAGTTTTTATTGAAGGATTTTAACTGGACAGTTCAGCTTTGCAAAAACTATCTGTTCAGCCAAATCAAATGAGCAACAACACTCCAGAGGAACACTCTACTCAGAATAACCAACCATACGAGACTAAAAGGGCAGCCTTTGCCCAAAGTGAAAAAGTTCAGTTGACAAGGAGCAGGACAGAAGGGTGAATCGAAATGGGGAACACAGAGAAGGAGCGGGAAGAGTGTGGTTACATTTAATTGCAACGAATACTATGAAACAAAATGTGTATATATTGTTGAATAGAAAACTCTTGTGCTCTGTAAACTTTCACCCAAACCACAATAAAAACAAACAAAACTGTATGTCTATAAAACCTCTGACTTAGCATATTTTCTCTTACATTTGTCTGAATGGATATATAATTAAAAGTCCTGGTGATTTTTTTTTTTTCCCCCTCACTTTTCCATATATCTAAACTTGGTTATTTTATTCAGGGTCAGGAGGTAAAAGTGTAAAGTACTGATACATCTAGTTTTTTTACTATGACCAAAAACGACTTTTAGTTCAAGGACTCCCTTTTGATTTTTTTATGGCTAAATTTTTATTATCCTTTTTGTATCTTATAAACTTAGATATTCACCTTCATCAAACTCTTCCTCTTTGCCAACCTCCTTTCTCTGCATACACAAAACTCTTCTGTATGATTTGTGGCGTACCATATGATCCAATTTAAAAGACTTTCATTATAGTTGGAGGTCAAAAGCATAAACTTGTTTTGTGTCATGTAATTCCTCAAAAGGAAAGCCAATGCCTGGATTGTTGTTGTTAAGTGCCACCAAGTCAGTTCTGACTCATAACAACCCAGTATAGGGTTTCTGAGAAGCTGCTGGTGAACTTGAACCACCTACCTTGTGCTTCCAACTGACCTTGCAGTCCAGCACATTAACCCATGGATTAAATCCTGTTAATTCTCAGCTAAGGAAGCTGGAAAACGCTGGATAGGCTTTTCCCAACCCCCACTCCCCCCATCTGCCTTTTCCCCCCTCTTCATCCTGTCTGAGAGAAATAGTCCTAGTAATGATGTTTGTGATTCGATTTCAAGCCCACCCTAAAAGGTGTGCCGATTCAGGCATCTGAGTCATTGATCGGGAACAGAGAGTGTCAGGTACCCCAAGGCAGTGAGGGGATTCCTCTCCCAGTTCTCCCATTCACTGGACTAATACTCAACAATCAGTGTTCGAGTTTGTGAAGACAACGATGCAAACTTTTCCTTTTAGAAGAGCCAACATTTGAACATTTGGTGTGAGTTTGCCATCTTTCTTAAGCAACTCAGCTACTAAGTGTCAATTCTGTCAAAGATCCAAAGTCATTTAGATCCTACAGTGTGGTTGCCTGAGCCTTAGGAATTTGGCCTTCAACGTTTTTTCCTCCAAAGAACACTCAATGAAAATCCAGTCAGCCCGTGGGAAAGCGTCCTATAGCGCTGGTGTTCAGCACTGCCTAGTGTAATCCCACAGAATTCTGTACGGAGGCAGGTTTTTACTAAGAGACTTTTCTAGCCCGCTGCTCTTCCCTCTAGCATAGCCCCTACCCTTCTGATTGTCCTTACTTATCTACATGTCTGTCTCCCCTAGAGTGTGAGCTCCTCGAGGGCAGGAACCCTGTTTTTATTCATCTTTGTGTCCCAGTGCCAAGCACGGTGCCTGGCTCATGGTAGGTGATCCATAAATGTTTGTTGAATGAAATATATAGCAGTGCTTCTTGGGTTGATGAGCTAATTTTATTTTTGTTTCTTTTGTTGGGTTTTTTTTTGGTTTGTTCGTTTGTTTCGCCCCGTGTTGTTAATGCTTTCTGTAGACTGAAGCATAGGAAGAGGCTCTCACTCAACGTTTTACATATAACATTGACTTTTGTAGGAATCACCCTTCGGTCATCGTACAGCCTGGGAAGAGACCTTTGCCTGTGGAGTCTCCAGACACCCAAAGGAAGCGGCGGATACACAGATGCGATTATGACGGATGTAACAAAGTGTACACTAAGAGCTCTCACTTGAAAGCACACAGAAGAACACATACAGGTACAGAGATGCTGGACTCAAATTTTCTTTGGAAGAAGTCTTGGGTGGAACGTTAAAGACAGACGTTTCTAGCTTTAGGGGTTAGAAGAAGATGTGTTTTAGATTGTAACAGATTCAAGTTGATAAATGTGAGCGGATCGCTCCTAAGCACCTGCAGGTGTGTTCTCTCTGTAGAGAGAGAAGGGGATAGAGTCTCAGCTAGCACAGAGAGAAAAGCGCTCGAAACTGAGGGCCTCTTGTCATCAGGATCTGGGCCTCCTATGGGCTAGCACTTAACAAATTGTTGTTGTTAGGTGCCATTGAGTTGGTACCGACTCATAGCGACCCTATGCACAACAGAACGAAACACTTGCACGATCCTGGGCCAACCTCGAAATCGTTGCCACATCTGAGCCCATTGCTGTTGCCACTGTACCAGTTCATCTTGTTGGGGGTCTACTTTTTCTGCGACCCTCTACTTTACCAAATGTGACGTCCTTCTTCAGGGAGGGACTGGTCCTTCCTGACAATATGTCCAAAGTATAAGAAACGAAGTCTGGCCATCCTGGCCTCTAAGGAGCCTTCTGGCTATACTTCTTCCAACATAGATCTGTTTTCTTGGCAGTCCATGGTATTTTCAATATTCTCCTTTAACACCATAACTCAAATGCATCAATTCTTCTACAGTCTATCTTCCTTATTCACGGTTCAGCTTTCTCATGAGTATGAGATTATTGAAAACCATGGCTTGGGTCTATTTAACAAACTTGTTGTTAAGTGCCATCAAGTTGATGTGGTCAACTGCAGGGGTAGCAGAGAATAGTTTATTATGCAGACCAAATAAATAAATACAGCCGTTTAAATGAAATACAATCCCACCAGTTGCCACCAACATGTCAGAGTAGAACTGTTCTCCATAGAGTTTTCAAAGACGGAATGTTTGGAAGCAGATTCCCCTGCCTTTCTTCTAAGGTGCTTTTGGGTAGATTCAAACCACCAACCTTTTGATTAGTAGCTGAACATTTAACTGTTAACAGCACTCAGGGACTCAGAATTCACAGAGAAGACTGTTACTAAAGGAAAGAAAAGTGAAGACAATTGGCTAATTATGGTCTTCCAAAATGGAAGAATTTCTATGCTATTGCCTACCATGTTTATCATTCCCAGAGTGGGTTTTTTTTTTTAACTTTTTTGCTTAGTATTGATTGATTGTAAGGTTGGTACAAGACAAGGCAAAATTTCATTCTGTTGTGTATAAGGTCGTTATGAGCCGGTGCAAAGCTTTCAATAGCTAGTGTGCAGCCTAATCATATAAAACTAATTGGATAGGTGAAGAAAGGGTAAAATTGTTCCAGGTGTGCCTGAATGTTTTGCTAACAAAATATCTGAAGAAACTCAGACCAAAAATGTGTTGAACAACCTGATTCATGGAAGTCAGTATTGTTGAATAAATGTTTGCAGTCAGCCTTATCTGGCCTTAGATTCCTTGATTGAAATGCTAATAATTGGCAATCTAGATGCCCCTGTTTCCTAACTTAGAAAGTGGATGATTTTTCTGAGTGTTGTGAGTCATTCTTAAGAATATTGGTAAGAGAAGTCTAGGGTTGGGGAGTAGGGAAGGAAGAAAGTGAAGTTTTTTTCAGTAAATCCCAGGACAGAGGCAGAGAATAAGGAAGGAGAGTCAGCCTACGACAAGTGTCACAAGTGTCAGAGCTATGGAGACCCAGGGTTCCTGTTCACATACCTGCTTTAGCTTCATACTAGTGCAGAGAGAGCAGAGGGTTAGAACCCTGTATTTATAGAACCACAGTCATCAATTTGGTGTTGTGAGTTGACATCAAGTCAGTTCTACTCAGGCAACAACCCCGTGTGTCTAGAATACAACTGTGCCACAGGATGGTCAAGGTTGTCTGTCACTCATGGAAGCAGATCACCAGGCCTATGTTTTGTTATGTTCTGTGCAGTAAAGCAGATAGTATAAATTCTGAGTATCTCATTGAAATGGTAATCCTGCAAGATATCTAGAGAACCAAGGAGGTAAATAGGTATTCCTTTGTGATATCTTTTACGGAGAGTCCTGGTGCAGCACTATAGGATAAGCACTGGACGGCAAGGTTGGCGATTAGTCATGATAACAGTTACTATTGAATCTTGGTTTGAAATCACAAGGTTGGCGGTTCAAACCTACTTGTCGCTTCTCAGAAGCCATGTATGGTGTTGCTGTGAATTGGAACTGATTGAAGGGTACTTTAAAAAAATCTTTTATCTGTTATTATTAACTTATTGCCATTAGCCATCTTTTTCTTTAGTTTTTTTTTCCGTGTGTGTGTGTGTGTGTGTGTGTGTAGGATCTTCATCCTAACTCTCCCTGTAACCCTCCTTTGGAGTCTTTCTTTTGTTTCTCATCAGCCAATTTTCCCATGGGAGTAGGTTTGAGAGAGTGGGGGAAGGAACTACTACAGGTTCAGTACTTCTGAATTAGAGCATTTCATTGAAGAGTAACTGTTGCATCTCCTTCAGAAAGGTCACAGCCATTGGCTATCCTTTGGAGGACAGATCTATTCTGAAACACATGGAGGTCATCAAGAGTCAGAATCAACTCAGTACCAACTGGTTTGGTTATTGACTAAACAACAAATTAGTATGTTACAGTATCTGACAGATATTTCAGTAGATAAAGACTTTATATTGTTAGAAGCTATTGAAAAGAACAATAAAACGCCACCAACTTTTTTTTTTTTTTTT